CATGTTTTAAAAAGTTCCTATGTCAAAACTGTAACAGTGCAATGGTTCCTAGAAAAAAAAATCATTTCCTAATCTGGCTCAGAATGAAAAAAAATTACTTCCCCATACATTGTATAATGGATCTTCCAGTCACAGTCTCCTATGGAAGCATAATTTATCTATTGGATGACACAAAGAATTTTACGATATCTACGATCCATTTACAATCTTTAGATGGGAAAAATTGAGAGCCAATTAAAACCTTAAAAAATGACTCTGTGTAGAATATAAATATATTAAATTAATATGTGTACAAGATAAAATTGGAAAAGTTATGGGAGCCTGCATTTTAATTTTATTTCTCTCAGGAAACTGCATGTTATAGCTCTGAGAATTACTTGGTTATAGGGTTGTTGATAACGAAGCAAAACTGAATTTAAATAGGACATTTTATCCCAAGACTTGTCATAACTCATAAGGTATCAGCCTTAAGGTGCTGGGGTCCAACCCCAGCAGGTCCAGGGGTCCCCAAAGGTGTGGACGGAGTCGGCGAAGAAGGAATGACACGGAGACAGTGTTCAGTTGATCAGCAGCCTAGCCAGGATCTCTAGCCAGGATCTCCAGCCAAGTTCTGGTCTGGATCTCCAGCGAAGTTCTGGTCAGGATCTCCAGCCAGGTTCTGTGTCTATGTTCTCTTGCTAGGTTCTCCAGCCAGGTTCTGTAGCCATGTTCCCTCACTAGGTTCTCCAGCCAGGTTCTGTCCAGGTTCTCCAGCCAGGTTCAGTCACCAGGTTCTAGTCAGGTTCTCTTGCCAGTTTTATCCAGGTTCTGTAGCCAGGTTCTGTCTCTAGGTTCTTCAGCCAGGTTCTCTTGCTAGGTTCTGTCTCTAGGTTCTGTGGCCAGTTTCTGTCCAGGATCTTTTGCCATGTTCTCTCCAGCAAAGTTCTTCTGTCTCTAGGTTCTGTTTAGGTTCTGTGCCTCTTGGTTCTGTCTTCTCACATCTGTATTTATACCAGTTGATTCCAATCCTATCAATCTCTATTCCAAAGGTTAGGGCGTTTCTTATCTCCATTCCAGGGAGTAAAGATTATGTAGCTTAAGCATGAATGTTCGTAGTTAAAGTGATTAATTACCCGCCTGGCACTTAGTTAAGGGTTTTATTCCCTCCCTAACTTCAGGGGAAAATCCCTACCTGGGGAAACAACCTTTCTTGGAGAGGTGACCTTGGTTAAAACACATAGCACCAAGAAGGTGAGCAAACATATTAAGAACAGTATGCCATATATGCCAGGTCCCTTGAAACAGCAAGCATGGACCGGCTCCCGGCATTAAGGCATGTTGAGATCTTATTGGAGAGGGAAGATGGACCAGTCAGAGACCAGAGGGGCCTAGAGAGGCTGATGTGGTGATAGGGTCGGCCCACAAGGATCTCTCCATCAAGGGAAGCAAGGACTGGCAGGCTACTACATGGCAGCTCCGTGTCATAGGCGAGATAGAGCAGTGCGATTCCTTGGTGGGAGGTCATTCTCATGGGCAGAAGGTGGTAACAGTTTGGTTGTATGGGAGACCTGGACGAGATGTGCAGCAGCTTGGTTAAAGCAGGTTGATAGGTACAGAGTGAGTTTACTGTCCTGTGCACTCAGAGTGCATCTATTCTCCACATACATACATACATACATACATACATACATACTTACGCTAGGTTTTATCCTGTATGTTCCCTGGGGGGGCACATACTTACCCTAGGTTTTCTGACTACCAAACCTATGGCAACAGACTAATCTGCATGGTGCCAAATGACGGAGACTGGGCTCCTAACATACTGGCCAGCTGAATGTAGCGGTTAAATGGCAGACCAATCAGTCAAACTACCCAGGTTCAAACCCATTTCCCCACTCACTAGCTAAGGATGCCAACATCCATATGCTGTAGATGTCTGAGATCAAATGGCACATTGTATTAAATTGAAAGGTGCCTCTATTTTGTTGTTATTTTTGGAAGCAGGCTTTTGGCGTTAAGTCACATAACCTGAGACTAGGAAAATTATGCTACATCTATGGGCTAGACTAAGCTATTCCTGTAGTTTGGCCAGTTTTAAAACAAAACAAAACAAAATCCTGCCATATTCTCCCTCCACCCCACTCCACCCCACCACCATGCTCCCAGATATCTGGCTGTACCTTCATTCTCTAATAGGTTCCGAACCTGTTTTCATTTCCATCCAACTGCTCTTTCCCATCTAACTGCTGTCCATCAGAAAAAGTGATTGTTAATATCGCTTTTGTAGAACTTCTGGTCCAGATTTATTCTAGAATCTCTTGAGTTTGTTTTTAAGTTGTTATAAATGTACCTCTGTTTCTATCTATATTTAGGCATAACTTTTAGATGCTAATAAAAATAATGCTTTGAGAAATGTGGGCATGGGTGGGTGGGAGTTTAATTGGGAGAGCCATACCCAAGACTAATGGAGTTAGTAAAGCCCTCACTACAGGATACCCAAGTTGTAAGACGCTAAATGTTGGCCTCAGTGTTCACCTTTCTGAGATAGCCACGTGAATGGAAATCATCCTATTCATCCTCTCCCACAAGCTTCTTTAGTCAAAGGTTTTGTTCTTTGGGTAATTAGCACTGAAGAGTGTTCATAGTGCCAGGAATTGAGGTGAGTGGATTTACAAGCATTATCTCATTTAATTCTCACAAGGATAGATCCTATCCTGTAGGCTAAGGACTAAAGAGAAGTTAAGAAACTTGGTCAAGGTCGCCCAGCAAGGAAGTGCTCAGCAAAGTTGCTCACTAGAGTCTCCTGTGTTGTCTCCCAGACCTGCAGACTTTCTGGAGAGAGCATGGTGTGCTCTGCCTACCCTCCCCTTCCCACCTGCCACCCTGTCAGGCCCTGTCCCTCTTTCCTTAGAGCTTTGCTTCCACTTGGTTAAAGAACCTCCCATGCTATCTTATCATGTATCTCTTATCTCCCCTACTTGACAGGAGCTGAGCCACTGTTCCAGACCACAAAAATCATTCTCTCATCCCTAACTGGTTGGTAGTATCTCAATAAAGCCTTTACCCTTCAGTTAGTGGTAACTCAAATAAGATTTATTCTTCTAGTAGTAGTCCAATAAAGGTTTGTTGAATTAACAAATGAATGAAATAGTAAGTTTTCCTGGCTCACCAAAGACCATGAGCTAAAGCAGCAGTTTAAAATATACAGTCCTGATCAAGTAGTTCTTATTGAAAATGAGCAGCTCTCTGAAGCAGACGGAGGGGCTGGGGGAAGGAATATGTTCTCTCAGGGTCACTGAAAAGAGCAGCTTCCCTTGGGACCAGAAAGTTCATCCTCACTCTCAGCCCCCTTTTCCTGTGATTCATTCTGCTTTCAGGATTCTGAATGTTCTCGTCAATAAAACACCAAATCCTAGAAAGCCTGGTTTCTGCCTTGTGGTTTGTGAGCAAATTTCATGACGTCACTGCCTACTAGCAGCTCACAGTGCTTTTCCTGACTCCATGTAGGTGAAACCTCTTTTGGGTAAATAGTTTGGGTCTGGTTTTTAAGATTTTTCTGACAGACCATGTGGTAGAAATCTGTTTATATACAAAGAATGCTCTCTCCCTTCTGCTGCTGCGCATGATGTTACTTTCCTTGTAGAAATAACTCTGCTTCTTTTAGCTGGTTCTTAGAATTGGGTTTTCTTGTTGATTTCCACTCAGTGAGGGTCTGCTGAGGATGGGTGGAGAGGACCCAAAACATTGCTTCTCCCAGACACCTGCCTGTTAAGTAGAGGGGCTGTATTATTCTGGTTTAGCCTAAGAGTTCAGGTTGCATGGTGAAATGGCCTCTCTGGATTTCCAAGCCTAACAGGAACGTTTAGATTTAATCTTGCTACTGAAGTTGCAACAAAGTTCATTCAAATTCTCAACGTATAGCAGGAGGAATTAGCCCAAGAACATATATGCTCCTGAGTGTCTCAATTGGTTGAGCATGGCCCCGTGCACGGATAGATTGCTTGTTCGGTTCCCCATCAGGGCACATTCTTGGGTTGCAGGTTCCATCCCCAGTTGGGGAACCTATGAAGGCAATGGATTTCCTTGGGTGAGGATTAAAAAAAAAGAAAGAAAGAACATATATGCATGACACATAAACACAAACAACAGTATAATGATGGCCGGGGGGGGGGGGGGGGGCTGGGGCTAGGTGGAGGTGTGCAAAAGGGGGGTAAAATGGGGCCATCTGTAATAATGCCAACAATAAAAATAAAGCTAAAAAATTAAACTTGTAACAGGGAAGAGTAATGTCCTGTCTATGCATGTTGCACACACACACACAATTTATATACATATATAATCAATGTATATATAAGAATGTTCTATTTACTGTATATTTATGTTTACACACATTTTTATAAACACACAAGCTTAAAGTATGAAAGAGAAATACATTATATATGTATACATATTCACACATATATGTACATGTGCATGTGTGTACATAAAATATATGGTGTAAAATTCATGGCATCTTTGGTTAATAGGTATTTCTGCTCTTATTAATGGAAAATTATTAACTTTAGGTAATCCCATCACAGAGTTTTTAAGCAGAGTGAAGGCTTTATTAAATAGCCCAGGGAGAATTTCTTTTGCTACTTTTGAAGAATCCTTAGATGGTGCCTGTAGAGGGGTGATCCCAAGCCCATTTAACTTTTTAAAAAGTAAGAAATGTCTGCAAGGAGTTTTCTTGATCTGTTAGAGGAGACCGAATCAAGGAGAGGAAAAGACCGTTCTCTCTGCCCAGCCTGCTGCTGGCTTTGTATAAGTTGAACGACAGAACATTTACAGAAATAAAAGAGAAAAGAAAAAGTAGCAAGCACCAAAGGGCAGCCGTGGCGCCCGGGACGGCACGTGACGCGGGGGGCGGGGCGTCGCGGGCAGCCAGCCAGTGGACTGGACCGGGGGCGGGGCCGAGGCCCGGGGGGCGGGGCCTGTGCCCGCGCAGCTCGCACTGAGGTCCCCTTATTTGGATCTGCGGGAATGTGGGCTGGAGCGGTCCTGCCGCGGTACCAGCCTCCAGCCCGTCGCCAAGACTGCTCCTGACTCAGGCGCGCCCACTGCTCGGTGGCAGGAGGGTCGGCAGAGCGTCATGGCCTGCATCCTGAAGGTAACGGCTCGGGTCTGTGGCTCCGATACGTGGTTGGTCAGCCCCTGGCTGCTCAGGGGCACGGAGTCCGCCGCGGTCCCACTGCATCCTCATCTCAGTTGTCTTTTCCTGGCACTGATCTTCTTTTTGTTCCTTTGGCAAATGCATATGGAGGGAGATTCTGAAGCATGCAGTTTGCACAGCCTCTCTTCCCACCATTCTGGTCTGCTCCTGCCTGCATCGAAGGAGCTGCAGACTGTTGGCTCCTGGGGAAAGCAGGGCTGCCTGCGGAATAATGGGGCTGGCAGGGAGGGGAGGGGTGTTCCCGCGGGTCCTGTGGCTGGCTCTGTTGCCTGAGGCCTTTCAGGGGCCACGGACAGAGGAGAGACTGTATGGTTATTGGTGGTGAGGGGTATAGCACTTTGAATGGAGGTGAGAGTGAGCAGAGGGGTGTACTACTGAGCATTTGATCATGTGAAGACAGAAACTTCTGAGAGTTTTTTTTACAGGTAGTCCCTCAGGAATGAGTTTTCTATGAGCTCTGTTAGCTCCAGGTGTCATTAGCTCTATTTTGGAAAAGTTCATAGCCGGATGTATTTATTAGTCGAGGATTTCGGACCCTCCCTTTGCTCATAAATTTGAACAAACAAAAACGATTTCATTCCCTGTCAGAGTCCTCCGCTTAACCACCCCTTCTTTGTTGAGTTTTCTTTCTCCAAGTCTGGGTTCTTAGCCTGGACTAGCATCTTTCTGGGTTCACAGCCTTGGGGCATCAGGTGGGAGTATTTGGTGTGAGTGCCTCACTTGAGAACTTTTCATCCCACAGGAATAGGGTTTGTTTGTTTGTTTATTTTTTCCTGCACTACTGTTTCTACCCGTGCCTAATCTGACTCGTGAATGCATGAATCAAAAACATTCACAGCATGGCCCAGCCAGTGTGGCTCAGTGATTGAACCAGGAGGTCAAGGTTGGATTCCCTGGCAGGGCACATGCCCGGGTTTTGGGCTTCATCCCCAGGTTTCGGGCTTCATCCCCAGTGTGGCGCATGCAGGAGGCAGCTGATCAGTGATTCCCTCTCATCATTGATATTTCTCCCTCTCCCTTTTTCTCTGAAATCAATAAAAATATATTTAAAACACACACACATTCACAGCATGAAGGTTTTTTGGGCTTGAATGGCGAATGCAAAGGTGTATTTGTTCCAAGCTTGGGGGAACTATATGTGACAGAGGAGAACACCAGAAAACAACTTATTTTAAAAATTGTGTTATTGTGAAATGGCCTTTGTTTCTCTGTAGGATGACTTGAAGCCATCCACTGCTCTGCTAGTTACCTCTTCCAACATCCCTTAGTATTAAGGATGCAAATTAGAGACTAACCTAGTAGAGTTTGTTTCCATTTGACTTAGAGTAAAGGAGATCAGATATTTCCTGTGACTTTTCTGAGCTTCCTGTTTGGTTTTGGAGCATTTTCTGGTACACAACAAATAGTTGCAAGATCAAGAGGAAATAATACATCAGTATTACAATATGGGATTTTTATCTTGAAGACTTAACACAAGGATTGAACTATAAATATGAATCACTGCTAGTGTTTCTAGTACTATTAACTGAAAGGGAAATTGAGGAGCATGCCATTTAATGTTGGCTGTCTTCTTTCCTTTTGGTTTTTCCCCTCCCTATCTTATACAAGTTCCAAACAGTTTTAGTACACATCCAAGCTGCACATGAATCTGATCTAACCTTCCTAGCACCTAACACTGACCTCAGAATTTGGGCATATCTGAATCCTCATATTTTCTCCACTGAAACTAATCCGGTATGCATATGGGTAACCTGCAAAGAGCTTTGGACTCAGAAAGACCTTGGTCTGAATGCAAACTCTGCCAATTGCTACCTGGGTGACCTTAGACAAGTTGTTTAAATGTCTTTGAGTCTCAGTTTCCACAATATAAGATCAAAGTAATAGCATGGATTCCACAGGGTTGCTGTGGGAAAAGAAATTAAATTGGGTATGAAAAATACTTCATGCACAGGCATTTTTAAAAATATATGTTTTTTTAAATTGATTTTATTTTAGTGAGAGAGGGAGAGGGAGAAACACCAATGAGAGAGAAACATCAATCTACTGCCTCCTGTACACCCCCTACTGGGGATTGACCCCACAACCTGGGCATGTGCCCTGACTGGGAATCCAACTGGTCACCTCTTGGTACATGGGACCAGGCTCAACCTCTGAGCCATACCAGCTGGGTGGCACAGACCTTTAATATGTGCCAATTTTTCCTGACATAATAATAACCACAGTTTAACATATAACTTTTATTTTGATATCAAACCCTGCAAGGGTGAACATCATTGTTTAAACCCCATTTTACAGATGAAGAAACCGAGGCCCCTGGGTTTAAGAGATTTGCCCTAAGGCAGCAGAGTTAAGGATAGAGTGAGCCTGGAGTTCCAGCCGTGGGCAAACTACGGCCTGCGGGCCGGATCCGGCCTGTTTGAAATGAATAAAACTAAAAAAAAAAAAGACCGTACCCTTTTATGTAATGATGTTTACTTTGAATTTATATTAGTTCACACAAACACTCCATCCATGCTTTTGTTCCGGCCCTCCGGTCCAGTTTAAGAACCTATTGTGGCCCTCGAGTCAAAAAGTTTGCCCACCCCTGAGTTAGACCCAAATCTGCCAACATTCCTTATACTTTAAATCTGTTTCCCAATACTATTCAGAATCCTTATTATCTTTGAGAAACAAAGTACCTTTGTGCAATGATGGTCTAGAGTAGCGATTTTTAATCTTTTTCATCTCATGGCACATACAAACTAATTACTAAAATTCTGCAGCACACTAAAACATATATTTTTTGCCAGTCTGACCCCAAAAGGCTATAATTTTGATTCATTCACACCAGACAGCTATTGTTGTGTTGGCTCCTGTCATTTTTTAATTTGATAATCTAAAGAAAAAGAGGTCAGCACCCTGACTATTCAGGTATTGCATGTTTTAAAAATTCTTGCGGCACACCATCTACCATGGCACACCTGTTGAAAATCACTGGTCTAGGTGGTCTATGGCGGGCCTTTTCTCCTGTTGTCTTTCAAAGGCCATGTTTGCTGGAGTGGAGAGCCTGGAGACCTGGATTCAGTGTAAGCTTGCTCTCCTGTGAATGATTTTATAGTCACTGCAACTTGGAACCTCAATTTATTCAAGTTGTAGAATGCAGATAATTATCATAACTGCCTGATAGGGTTTGGTGACAGTAAAATAATGGACTGTTTTCTTAATTAATTAATTAATTATTTATTTTTAAACAAAAAAAATCCCCCATATGCCTGTCCTCGACTTGGTGTTGGTATCACAAGATGTCTAAGCCATTGACTCCATTCTCAAGTGGCTTATGGTATAGTAAGGCGTGTGGAAAAGTAAATGAATATTAGGTTACAATGTGAAGAATCACATAGGTCTGTGGAAGGCATAGTAGAAGCATGGAGGGAGAGAGCAGTGATCTCTCATTGGGTGATTAAGACAGGCTTCTCACTTAAGATACTGGAGCTGGTTTTGAAGACCAAATAGTATTTATTGACTGGGATAGAGCTTGCATTTTAGAAAGATAACTCTTGAGGCAATGCCACTTTTATTCTAAAAGCAAATCTTCTTCTCAACAGATTTTTGAGGTAGATTTTATTATCCATTTTTACATATGAGAAAACTGAAATACTGAGAAGTTGATTAAAGTCTCATTACTACCTACACAATAGTGACCCTAACAGTGAGAACCTCTGACTAGCTGAGAGGAGAAGTCCCTGCCGTGGCAGCTGGTGGTGATCTTTGGGGTCATCCAGAATTATTTCCTCAAGGTATTGCACATGCAAAGTCCTGTTCTGCTCAGGCATAGAGCTGGCTCTCATAATAGAATGATGGTTACCTCAATAATCATGTAATTGTGGAATTCATACTCACTCCCCATGTCATGGGCTTTGAGGTCAGAAGCATGTGGATTTTAATTATAGCTCCACCATTTACTAATTGTATAACCACAAGTAACTTTCTTGATTTCATTGCCTGTGCTTCTGCAATGGAGATCATCATGCATCCCTCAACAGGTTATTCTAGGAATTAGAAGAGAATATCTGCAGTTAGTAAGGATAGGCTAGTTATACTGCAGTAAAAACGTCTTACTAGGTTCATTTCTTGACATGCTCCTGGTCAGGTAGCTCTCCTGGCTAACTGCCATTGTGAGAAATCAAGTCAAAGACTGGTTTCTTTCCATGGGGTGTTTTGAAGGTCTTTGAAATTTGATAGATAGAGAAATATTTAATTTGTATCTATTTGATTACTAGTGAAGTAAAACTTTTAAATTTATATTAGCCATTTTTTCTTTTGTAAGTTACAGACAATTTAAAATTTTATATACTAAAACCCATTCAGATTTTCTTCTATGATTTCTACCTTTGATCAGCGATACTTTTTGAGTATAGTATCTTATAAACCTTCTATATTTAACAAATATTTGGTGTGTTGTGTTTAGTTATTTTTCTATTCAACACTGAACTGGACACTGAGTGGACAAATGGGCACAAGACAATTGTGAGTCATTTCTTTCTTGGAGAGATTATGGTTTTGCCAGTTGATGAGACTTATGAGCATGAAGTAGTTAGACAATAACACAATAGGTGCATGACTAAGTTACTGTTACCTTCTCTACCAGATACCTGTCCTTGTATAACTTTTATCTTGATTGATGGAAAATTGGATGAATGTTCATGTCAAGTTATGAACTTTGTGTCTTTTCAGTTATTCTTCCTTCCCCTGATTCAGACTTAATTCTTCATCATGTTGCATCAATTCTATCTCAAGAAATCTCTCAAATCTGCTCATTACTTTCTATCCTTAGAAAGTAATGCCTCATCTAGAGCCTAGTATTTGATCTTTTGAAATAGCCTCCTTTCCTTCAGACTCTTCGCAATCTTGCCCATTTTCCACATCATTCTCAGAACATTGTGCTAAAGTGCACTGCT